GGTCACACTGTTCTTGATACACGCCAGTATCCCATTGGCCTTTTTGGCCACCTGGGCACACTGCTGGCTCATATCAAGCCGGTAGTCAACCAACACCCCCAGGTCCTTCTCCACCAGGCAGCTCTCCAGCCACTCTTCCCTGAGCCTATAGCGAATGCTTGGGGTTTTTATACCCAACGTGAAGGACTCTGCACTTGGCCTTATTAAAGCTCATGCCATTGGCCTCAGCCCAATGATCCAGTCTGTTCAAATCCCTCTGAGAGTATGTACTCTGTCCCATTGCTGCTCCCTTCATGTTCCTGTTCATACGGCAAGTGAGCGTTTCGGACACTGTCTGGGATCCTGGACATCCACAGCCCAACCTAAGCTGTGCCTCGTGCCGGGCTACAGTGGTCCAGGGGCCTCGGCTGGGACCGCAGTACTAACACCACCAGCATGTGTCTGCCCTGGTGGGAGCTTTTGTCTGTGTCCTGCTCACTGTGCCCTTCCCCCCCAAGTCCGGCCTGTTCTGTGGGCAATGGATACAGGTGAAGCTTGTGAAGAGGCCACAGCCTGGCTCTTACCACAAACGCTTTGTTCCGCAGCGCACATTGTGCCCTTGTGATGTCTCTGAAGGGGTGAAAAGTCGGTTGATCAGCAGACATGCTAAAGTGCAGGAACTGTCGGGGCGGTCAGAAGAATGTAGATGGCTGTTTGGCTGTGTTTTAAACAAAATTATAATTGCCAGTATTGGAACACAAAACAGCATTTCAAAACTTCCGTTTTGTTTTTTAACGATTCTATAGGTGATAAAAAGAATGATCAAGTGTTGTTCTTTACTCAACTGTCACACCCAGGTAAGAGGTGAAGCAAAGCATTAAGTAAAACATTCGTTTATAAATATTTTGATGTTAAAAGGCAAGAGGGAGCATGTTCTAGAAAGTAAGAAACAGAATCCAACTTTCCTTGTAAATGTGGTGCAATAGAGTAGATTTTCTTGTTACTGTTGCTTCTAGGACACTGCAAGTACTGCAATTAGTGAGTAAACAAGCATACTTGGAAATGTTGTAAAAAGTAGCAATAGTCTGGGTGGGCTTTTTGTCTCCTGTTTCTCTTGGGATATAGTTGTGTGGGGTTTTTTGTAGAGTCGAGAAAGAGAACGGTATCTGTGGGGTGGTGTTGGGAGCTGGCCTTTTCTTTAACCGCACGTGGCCATTGTTGTTCAGTGGGATTGTTCATTCTCCAAGAAGTAACAAGTCTTACATTAGGCTCTGATTTAAGAGTTATTAAATGCATTTAGAAACCTGGAAGCCAGGTCAGCCCCTTCATATTTCGGTGAAAACCCTCCTTCTTCCTTTTAGCTACTGCTGTTGGCATTTCAGAGTGAGGTGTGTATGCACTTGAAGTTCAGGTGCTTGGAAGCTGCTTGCTGTGGAAACCAGGACTTGATTAGGTCTAGAAGGGGGGTGGGATTACTGAGGGGTTCTGTGGAAATTCCAATTTCTGTTTGTGGGCAATTAAGGCTGTCAGAATCACCTCTGAGTCTTTCCTTACAGGTAGCCATTTTGTGCCAGTTCCTCAGAGAAGTAGACTACAAAACTGCATTTAAGGCACTGCAGGAACAAAACAGGTAAATGTTACAACAGAGTTTATAAATACTTTACACGAGAGGTGAATGTGTTAGATAACCCGTGTTCTCTTTCAGCCATGATGCCATGGATTCTTACTACGAGTACATCTGGGATGTCACCATCTTGGAGTACTTGACATGTATCCTTTCACTAGAGTACCACTAGAGAAAGCTCGCACTGGATGTTCATGGCTGGAAAAAGCCCCTTTCCTACCCAAGTGTCTTTTCTTGACTCAACCTCAGATCTCCACCACAAAAGAGGCGAGACAGACAAGCGGCAGATAGCAGTAAGCGAACACAGGGTGCTTGGGGGTGTGGGATTTCCCTGGAGTGTCTTTCTCTCCTTGAAAAGAATTGCCATGTCCAGTTTTAATTGCGTTGTGTGATTCTAGAGGCTGGATGCTGATGTAAGGTTGTACTCAGATGGTTGTGGGGTGGCATAGCATGCTACAGAAAAAAACCCTGTTGAACTAGCACTGAAAGTGCCTTGTAATAAACCAGCTTCACTAGAGTGACTGTTGCTGGTGATGGCTCCTCTTTTGTTTTCAGATAAAAGCCATTGGCCAGACAGAGCTGAATGCCAGTAATCCCGAGGAAGTCCTGCAGCTCGCTGCGCAGAGAAGGAAAAAGAAGTTTCTTCAAGCAATGGCAAAACTTTACTTCTAGGCTAAGACTGGAAGACTATTATAAAATGTGTGGAAGTGAAAAAATCTTTCAAGACTTTATTTTTAAAATTCATTTAAGTTTTTATACAACATTTACAGTCTAATATCTTTCTTTCTTAAAATAGAGGAAATTTTACAATAAACCCCTTATTTTTACAAACTGTACAGAAGGCTGGAAGCAACTTCAGCTAGTTCTGCAATGGCTTGTTTGAAGAAGACGTGAATTCAAGCTTGTCTAGAACATGAGTTTAATGTAGATGTGGGTGGCACTTGAGGCTCGAGTGCAGCTTTGTGGACTGCTCAATGTCATGTAAAACTTGTCCCTGGATGTGGGGCACAGGTAGGAGCACCTTGAAAGAGGGAGAAGCACCGATACTCATCTTTCCCAGTACTGTCCCTTCATCACAGAAGTGAAGCACCTCATATAGGCAGAGGTAGTGAATATTCCAAGGAAAACACAGTAGTTAATGCTGTTTATAAACACTGATAAAATACAGCTCCACAGTTAGTTTAAAATACTGTTCCTATAACTTGAGTGGTTGTAGAGTACCAGCAGCTCTTTTTTTTCCATACCCTCTCCAGTTCTCGTTATGTTTGTACTTGGTGGAAGGTAATGGCTGGGTTGTCTAAAACGGAACTCCTTCCAGTTCAGGCCCGTTCAGCAGCACGTTCTTTGCTTGTACTCTTACCTGAGGTCAGTGACACACTAGAACTGAAGTTTATGGCAGCCCTAAAGGGCCACCTTCACTTCGTCAGCCTCCTGTGGAGCTAGAATTTGATATGGGTCTGGCTGCACTGGAATGGAGGGCAGAGTGGTTTCGGGAAAGTAAACTGCTTACCCACTGACCTCTGTAATACTGCACCTGAGCTCGTGGGTGTTAAGCTCTGACCTCACCAAGAAAAAGAAGTCAGGAAGAGGTAATATGTACAAGCGGTCGTTAAGAGGCTCTCCTGTATGGCTAGCCCAAGTTAAAGCAAGTTTGACACGTAAGTAAGTTGAGCAGACAAACTTCCGCTCAGCCATTTTAAAAAAGTTCTTGAAATTCATAAGTTAGGAATGGTCAGAGTTGAACTAAGTTGTGTCTGAGAATGGACCAAGGTTGTCCAGGCTGCTGTGATAGCATGGAGGGATGCTTGGTCTAAATCTTCTATCACCAGTCCCGAATTTCCATCTGCTGCTCTGTTTGATGCTTTTACTGCCCAAGTCTTGAATAGCAGGAAAGAGCATGAGTCACCTTTAGCATGGTCTTGTTCTGAAGCACCAAGTCCTGTTTCTGAAACTGTTCATGATGTTTGTTGTCCATATTTCATTTCTTCTCTGTACTTTTGGGAGGAGTTATTATTCCTCCTGTCGACACAGGTGATAACTGACCTGGGGCAGTAGATGCTACTCCACTGTTAACTTCTTCCTGTGTATTAGGGAAGGAAGACAATGGTTAATACTGGTGACAAGTTCTACTTTGTTTCACAAGTTCTACTTTATTTCACTAGTACTACCCAGCAGTGTTTCCTCACACAGCTGGTGCAGTTCAAGTACTCCACAGTTAAGATACTGAATAAAAAAACAGTGAAACATTACACAACAAAGTAAAGATGATAATCTTCTAAACATTTCACCAGTACTTCTAATCCAAGTCTTTGCTTATGGCCTGTGAGTGTTATGGTAAAACACCTTTAGTTTATAGCATTATCAAGCCGGAGCAAGGAGCAGAAAGTCAAGCACCACTGCCCCAGCCCTGCTGGCTGAGGTGAGCCAGGCTGGGTACGAGCAGGAAGGTGTTTGGCCACCCTTAGCTGCCTCAGGAGGAGGAGTGTATAATACACTCAACTGCCTGAACTGCAAGCCCACAGACCACCTACCAGCATGTCCAAATAATTTGTGTGTGTCTGGATATTATGTCGATCTTCTGCTGCAACCTTCTTAAAGTTCTTCAGCTTCACAGGGACTTTTTTTGCCACGTTTGCAAAGGGAACCATCCATTCCACGCACTCTGAAATGCTGTCCCAATCTAAGCCTAGAGGGTAGAATACAGCAATGTATTTAGAAATGATGGAGTTGCACAGTGTTCCAATATGGTTATCAATTTTAAAATAACAATAAATAATACTGCAGATAAAAATGCAGAAACATCCTCCCAGAAACTCTCAGCATTTCTTGCTGCCCCGCTTGGGGCAGAGGAGGGTGAACCCAGGCCTCCTGAGCAAACCCTCTCTGGCCATGAGGGTTCTTGTTGCTCACCAGGGGAGGTTGAAGTGACTTTTTCAGCTTCAGCACAAGATTTTGGTTCACGCTGTAAGAACACACACTATTGTCACAGTCCTTCAGGGTACCTTTAGGGCAGCACACAAGTGCCTGCACTTAACTAAGTGGTGGTTTGTTGTTTTGTTTTTTTTTCACTTTGTAAGGGACAGTCTTGTAGCAATCCGCACAGAGGTTAATGGAATGTTGCTGGCAGCTGACTACATTTTAGGAGAATAAAGTAGCCAAATCATGTACAGCTAATGATCTTCAAAACAATAGCAAGTCATGGAGCAGCAGTATTAGCTCAGAAACAGGAAGGATAAACCTGCTTTGTTTCCTTAGCTAAGACTATGCTCCTGAAGGTGTTTCCTTCTCTTCCAAGTTTTAGTAACATCTGAAATAGTGGTAAGGAGGAAGCAAAATTAGGAGAGGGGGAAGAACCCAACCCACACAAAACAGAAAAACAAACTCTTTGTCAATGTCGCTTTTGCTCTCTGGCAGCCTGGTAAACCAATGCACTCTTGGCAGCTTCAGGTGTGTAACAGCTTTCAGAATTCCCTGCCTAACGAACAGGACCCATCTTTACAAAGGCTTCTTACCTGAAGCTTTCTTAACGACTTCAATTGAGGTACAGTGGCAGAGCGCTGCAGCAGCCAGCGTTCTATACTGGAAGTCCAAAGAATTCACATCCAGAATGCACAGGTCTAAAAGCTGAGGAAGTAAAGAGCGGAGGAAACGAGTTACAAATTTTAACAAGATAATACTTTAGTACAATCCTGTCTTGGAAACTGCAGTGTGTGCAGTCCTCCTACAGTCTGTGCTCTGGCTTTTTAGCATCCATTGTGTGGAGCTGTTTTATTTTTGGCACCACTTAAAGTGGGTCTCGCAGAGTTATGACGCAAACCAATTTGCACTTTTACCAGAAACATGCAAGACACTTTCACTTGCACAAATTTAAGTACACATTAACTCTTAGCAGAGCTCCAGGAAGGTATTTTCTTAAATTAAAATACTGCCTAGCTTTTCAGTGACTTAGATACATCTACTCTTCAGTAAGTCTCTCTGAGGTTGGACACAACACATGCCCGTAAAATTTGAACCACAGCAGTTTCAAGAGAGTCAAAACACTGTTCTCAGACTGCCTTCTAGGCAAATGCACAGAAACACTGTTGCAGACAATACAGGTAAAAACAATTAACTGTCTTAGATTATCTTAAATAACCCACCCTCCTCTCGGAGTAGCCCACTGCCAGCTATTTGCAGAATGCCGTAGTGGTTAAAACAAAAAAAGATATTTGTACTTTTCCAGTGTACAGAAAAGTCTTAAAATACGTGAGAGTAGAGTGACAAGAAACACATGGGTGCTTCTCCTCAAAACTGAGCATGAAGTTCCCTGGCAGTCAAACTTGCACATTCCTTAACAACGTAACAGCTGAGGTGAAACACAGATAAGCTTTCTTGAATGCCTTTTGAGGCGTAATGTTCAGTTGTGCGTTAGCCACTCCAAAAAGCATTTTCCGATACAGTTTACTACCTACCTGTGCTATCTGAATGAATTTTTCCTGAGAATACTGAGGTAGCAGCACCTTCGGAACATCCTTCAGAGCATCCACTTGAAGATAGAGGTTCAGCCAAGAGACGATTGTCACTGGGCAGAGTTCCCATTTTAAAGCCTGCAAATATTCAGCGAACAGGTCAGCGCACCTTAAACCATGCAAGGACACGGAGTTGTGTGCCCTGATCTCTTGCCCCACACCTGCCTTTCTGGGTCTGCTCAGCTGGTTGCACGGATCCTCCGGCACCAAGCATTACATATAATTTCAAGTACAGACATCCATTTTGGATTGCATTCTCTCTACTTTTTGAACAAGCTGCATTGCAATCAGCACAAAAATGTATTTTATCTCAACCCCCTTTCCTATGCCTGTGCAGTTGGATCTTATGTATTTTCCTCATTCAGAAGCTGGGACTTCAGAATATTTCGCCCAAGCCTCCAGGCTAGCTGCCTGAACCTGCAACTAGTATCCACCAATGAAGAATAAATGTATAACGAGTTCTGTGATGGTAAAGATGGATCTTTTCCAGCATAAAGAGCACTGAGTAGTGCCAGCTCTTTGCCTGGCTCTCCTAGAGGCCCCTGTTCCAGGACAGCAGAGGACCCCAGCAAGTGCACTACCTTGCAGCAACAGCCTTCTGGTCTGCCCTGTCCATGGCTGGCTGTATCTATTAAAGAGGCTTTACTTTCATACGAGCACGAGAAACTTGTCCTTTTTGAACAGACAGGGATGTCACCCCAGATGGTGGCTTTAGAGGCCCACTGCACACACACAGTGAAGGTTCCATTGTTTAGCAGGACGAGGGGCATACTAAACATGTTCCATTTCTAAGTAGATAAACGACACTCTAATACAAGGCTCAGCTGGACAGTCTTTCAATGGGCGCTTACAGCAAAGTTATTACCTTTAACATAATAAGTTCCATTCTTACAATATCATCTTCGCCGCAAGCGCCATCAGTGACGTAAGCAAATTCCTGTATTTTAGGAGCGTAGATTTCCTTTAGAGGGAGGGAGGGGAAAAAGGGAAGGTTAGAGTGCTTATAAGTCTAAGAAAGCTTGAGAAGATACTGGCAAACACTTTTCAATCCATATTGGAATATTAACATTTCTTATGACAGAACAGTGTTTTTCTCACTATATGAGGTGACTTGAAACTTACAGGATAAGGAGACACTAAAACCAAGTAAGTTATATGTCATCTGTTGTAAAACATGACAGATTTATCACAACTTTTATAGCTTTTGGAGAAATAAACACTGACCAAGCAATCAGAACAGCCTTTCATTTATACCACTTTCTACTCAGCTGTTCCATTTGTTGTAAAAGCTTATACTATCCTAATTCTTGTACAGCGCACTGTGGTATTAGAAAAGGCTTGCTGATAATGTCAGTTAGTGCTGACATCGTCTTACCAATAAAGAAAGAAAAAAAAGCTAGAAAAAGATGAGAGAAAACCCCACAGCCACTGTAGCTGGCAAAATCCGTGGTATGGAGATGGTTAACACAGAAATTTGCCAACCCAGTCAGGCCAGTTGGGGCCACATATAGGTAGGTGTGTTAGTAAAAGAGAACTTGCCAGCAGAACTGCTTCTCTACCAGCTGGCTCAACAGCCTGATGCCCCACACGCTTCCTTAGGATAGACAACTGCTTGTAGCACGCTGCCTTGGCTTTAGGAACAGCAGCTAGATCGGGGTGGGGGAGTGTCCAAGGATAAAATCTTAATATGCCAAATTCTCCTCCAAGCCTAACCTACCATGACCTACAAAAGGAGACATAGAAAACCATGCTCTAGGCTCACAGATGTAGTGCGCAATGTAATGTATCACCGTCACTGCACTGATTACGTTATCTTTAAAAGAAAAAAAACGCTCCACTGAATGGGTTTTAAGGGATATCACTCTGATGTACAGGCAGTTTGAGACTTAGGCCTGGTTTTGTTCATGTCCCACACCCATTCCTGAGATTGTTTGCCAATTGCTGTGTATTTGGAAAAAGACAAAACAAAACTAAACTAAACTACTCCTAGCACATTTGCATACCTTTTAACTTTATGTGGTCTCCTTCCCTGCTGCTGAGGAAAGGGAGGACAAAAACTAGAGACTGACATACGCACAACTGAAGGAAGAGAAAAAAAATTTCACCTCTGACCCTCAGTGTTGTATGTGCACCACCAGGTCCAAAAGATTCAGACAGAAGTAATAAATGTGTTATTACTGTCCTTTTAGTTATTCCAGACTTAATATCCTCCTCCCTGTAACAGAGCTCCTTACCTCAAGTTTGGAGGCAATGAATAATGAGGTAATTCCTATGAGCTGAAGCATGCTCTTGTTAATGTTCTTTTGTGTCAACATGAATCTATCAAAAAAGTCTTGAGCTAGGTAGAAGGTTTCCCTGTGGAGTGCATACACCTCACATACCTACCAAAGGGAAAAAAAAATAATAAAATTAAGTTTTCTGTCAAAAAACTATGTACACACATTGGAGTATTCAAGCGTTAACAGTAAAACACAGTATGCACAATTTTACCTTTTGTACAAACAAACCATCACATACCTAGGTGTGTTAGGATGTAGTGGTTAGTACAGGACTGGGGAAAGTATTTCCCATGCTTTCACCTAAACTTGGATTGTCTATGATGCACTAACATACTTCCAAAGTATATTTTTCCCATCTAAACAGCATCCAGTTTTGCTAAAAATGAGTACAAAGAATTTTCTACTGAAAGAAGAAAGCCTCATTGCAAAGGAAAAAAAAAAAAAAACCACACACAAAACCCACCAACAACAAACAACACAGTGAAAAAAAAACAACACCCTAATTTGCTTGATTAAGAATACTCGGGGCTCAAACCTCAAGTTGAAGTCACTGAGCAGATCCTCCCTGTATTCCTAGTAGGTCTGTCCCAGGGCAGAACCACTGAAAAACTTTGGCTCTACAGCAAATAAGCCTGGAAGTTCCTGGCCAAGGGGGCTCTGCTGGCAAGCCAGGAGTGCTGCCCGCAGCCCCTCGGGCACATCGACAGCCTCACTAAGCAGGAACAAAACTGCAAGAACGGCCATCTGCTCCATACAGTTGTGGGTTTTCCTGGCAGAGAGAACTTTTAATACTTGCATTGTATCAAAGTGGTTCAAATGCCAGTTCAACAAAAAAGGAAAGGAGACTGCCTGGGCCTGGAGATCTTATGCAGGGGCCTACTTTTTCCTCTAATCTCTAACTGAATCTGAGTGGGTCTATCACAACTCCAGCTTATCTGCAACTCTGTATCCCTTCCATGACTGGAAACTGTTTAGATATCTATAAATTCCTTATAATCTATGTGCAGTTAACAGGAAAGAATATCCAAGAAACATATCCCAAGTCCCAGCTTCCTGCCCTGCTTCGTTATTTCACTTGAATACCAAGTCAGAATAAAATCTCACTACTACTAGCTATTCCCTAAGATAAGACTGAAAGCCTATTCACTAATTAAAACCCTTCCTGACCATCGAAAACGCAACTGGTTGGCAGTAACACCACAGCTCATTCTTTTAGGGCTGATCTAATATTTGACAATTGGTGTGCTGCTCTGATAATATCAACTACTACTCCGAACAAGACTCAAAGCTAAAAACTACAGGCCAGGCTGACCCCTGAATAAATGGCACAATTTCTATAAAACTGTATTGCCCAAACCTAAGTAATAACGCTCAGTGATGTTAAATAGTATCTCAGTTATGTTACAGAAGACAAGGTTAGGAGCTACTGGAAGACTCTCAAAGTTGCTGACTTTAATCCATAGACTTTAATCCATTGTGGCACACAGAACCACTGAGCTGGACAATGACAACAAAGTCCTTGTTGACATTCTTGTTTGGAAATTGGATGATTTCCTAAACTCCAAGATTTTCAAAAAAAAAGCAACAAAACGCAGTTTTATAGTGGTATGTAAATTACACATTAGAGGAAGTAGTGAAGTACACAACTGGAACAGTTCTTAAATTTAGATCATATTTAAAAGAAAAGCAGCCACACACTCCTATTCCTTTCGCTTGAAATTCCCTGCTATTAGTACTGTTCCACCAAGACAGCAAGCGTGCCACTAATGTCTGCTTCCCTGGAGTACTTGATACGGAATTGGTAAATCTACAAGATCCTTTCTGCTGATGGGCACGGATTGCATGAGACAAAGTTTGCTTCTGGCAGTGGTGATCGAACATGCTCAATATAGACAGTTCCTGGAAGCGCCTCCGGAACACAGCTCTCTATTTACAACACTAATACTCCTTCGCAGACGCTGCCAAGATTGAGAGCTTCCATTTTGTTTGACAACTAGAATACTCTGAAGTACAGTAACTACACTGGAATACAGATAAGATTTATTTGTAATCCTTTTCAAATAAGAACCTGTCTATATCAAGGACCTTCAGATGCCAGCCACTAAGGTACTACTTTCTGCTCTCTTCATAGGACAGAATAAAAAATTCACTAATAAGCCAGCAGAGAGTGTCAGGGGCTGACATCTAAGAGCTCTTGATGTAGACAGGGCCAAGGCGGTGACACGAGTCCTCAATACAGATGCAGTTGTCTCATGGCTTAGGTACAGCTTAATATGTAAAGTTGGAGCTCCACAACTAATCTGTCTATAGCAATTTCAATACTAGCGTCTCAAAACTAGATCTCTCCCCTTCCCAGGAAGTAGTGTAGCAAGAGCCAAAATTAAGTGCAATTGCTCGCTGCCCTCTATGGAAAGTTCAGCATCTCCTGCCAGAGAAGACTAAATGTAGCTCACCAAGAGGATTAAAAGTAGTAACTTGTAACCCTTTTGTTGCAAACTAGTTTTGGCACCTATCATTACCATCCATTTTGCTACTAGATCTTTATGTAAAAGCTGTGCTTTTATCTGTCTACTTCTCAGGCATAACACAACAGCAAAGTAACTGAAAGAACGCACCTCTAAGAGCCAGTCTAACAGTATTGATCTCATGTGAGGTTGCAAACTAGAATGTAGCGATGTGAAATGTTTGCAATGAGTGTATCTGCTCTCTTTCCTCAGGATGTTGAGCCAGACATCATCGGAATTTCCCCAGCTATGGAAAAAGTCACACAAAGCATTGTTAAGTATATATACACCTTCGCAAAAAGAGTTTAAAAACATTATTTATTGTTTACAGATATTCAGGAACAAAAAAGAAAAGCTCTGCATACTAAAAGATTCTTGTGGTAATTAGAAAACTGCAGGTGTACTTTGAACATTTTACGTCACCACAACAGCAGCTTGCCAAGATCATTGGCAAGTCCAGTGTTACAGAACAGCCAGTAACACTGAACATATGTATCCCAAAGTTGCACATACAACCACAGTTTCCTATTTTGCCTCGTTAGGTGACTGTCCAGAGAGCAAGATAAAACCCAAACCTTTCCCATAAAAGAAGAAAAAAAACCAGCCCACTCCCCAAGAAACACAAATCATACACAAAGTCGTTCAGTTTAGTTCGAGAAAAACATTTACAGATGGTGTTTAAAAGCCACTCATCCATCCCTTCCTTTTCTAGCCTACATTAAGGCTCAGAAACATGTTATTGTGAGAAAAACTGTTTATTGCTAAGTCCTTGTCTATTGCAAAGTTATAATGTATTAGCACTCAAGTCTACTTGGGAGAAGCAGCAGCCTATATCATTATTATGGCTTGTTTTAAATTTGTAATTATTGTTATTACGAATTGATGTGGGTTTTTTTCTTAGTAACTGTAGGATGAGAAGTACATCTAAGGGGCACAGCACGTTAATCAATGCAGTGATGATTTCCTACTGAAATTTTTGGAGTTATATATTCACCTTTCCCCAAGCAGAAAGAGATTAAAACAGACCTGATCACTGATATCGCCTACAAATTCTAACGCGGATCGGTTCCATTCTGCTGTCAATGTAAGTTAAAAGCTGGAGAGATAGCTGCTAGTTTCATGCACAAGACTCCCCATTTCAGTGGGCAAGCCTCGAGAAATCTCCTGTAATGATCTTCCTGCAGCAGTTAGGAAAACATAAAGGTGGCAGGAGAGAGGAAATGATCTTCTTACTCAGCTAATCGAAAAGGATGGAGCTCAGCATCACCAAATCGGCAAGAGATGAACATCAAGGATTAAACTCCTTGCATGAAATTCTGTATCTGAACATATCTTTGGGATCCAGCAGTTTCCAGTAACTTAAAAGGAGTGCATGAGATTCTCTCATTCACTATCCTTTTTTTAAAAAATTATTTTTTAAATCTACCTTGCACTAAGCTTTCCAACACATACAAAAATGTGACCTACTAGCTATAGAGAAGAACACACTGTTCTTTAAAGCACAGTTCAGGAGGCTTGGGAGTAACACAGAAAGAAGAGCAGTTGAATTTGAAACTCAATGAAAGAGAATGGAAGAGACATATTGCTTTGCACTGAGGCAAAACATCACCACGCAGCACCTCCGGGTTCTGATGAAGTTTTGGCCAGAACAAATAAAAACATGGTGTATCTAGAAAGGTTCTCTTACAGTAATGCTTCATGTTCTGCTTTTCCTCTCATTCACCTCAGCAGAAGACTTCCCTAATGCATTGCAGTAAATTTAACAACAAACAGCAGCTGAGGTACTTAGCTAGCACACCTGAATGGCTGAGAAACTCAGAAACTGAAAAATCCAATTCAGTCAGCTAATCCATCCCTCTGCAGAAGGGAAACTTTTTAGAACCGTGACTGCACCAAGTATACTGCATCACGTTAGCAAGCTACCTGCACAGCACTATTGCCACAAGTTTATTTGCATATTTGTACATTTTTAAGCTCTTAAAGAAAATTTTGCTTAGTATTTTTTGGTCCTTCAGTTCCAAAAGCACTGAAAGAAGTTTAGTTTAACCATTACGTGCCTCTTAACCACTTAGAGTCTCCAGTGTTAAGTTATCAAAGGACAGCTCTGAAAGGTGTCTGTCACCTTTATCTGTCATGTGCGTTTATAAGATCAGGGAGAGGGGGTGAAACCCAGAATTGCTCTCTTTTTTTTTTGGACATCAAATTGTTTGTGGGATGAGGAGACAAGTAGGAGTATAGGCTGAGTACTTCCCACTATTCTATAAACACAATACAACAACAGATTTTACTACATTAGTTCAACATATTCAATAAAATCATCAACCACTGCTGCATCTGGTAAACTTACCTGAGTTCTGGCAAAGGTGATGGATTTATGAAAAGGTTTCTGAACCTGTACTTTTTGAATCTTGAGAAGTCAGTGGTGACTGATTCTTTGTGAGGCGTTTCAATAATTATGCAAGGCGAGATGCCTCCTGTTATCGTGGGCGGCCAACAACTCTGCAACATAAACAAGGTATCTTTTAAATGCTGATTTTACTATGACAGCAAGAAAGGTGAGAAGTAGATTACAGTAACACTATATGTAACGTATGCGAATCTTTTTGGACCTCAGAATCGATTCAAGTACTGAAACCAAGAAAGACAAAGAGATTAAATGCCAAAAAAAGCCTTTCGTAGTCAAGACGGAACATGTATAAACAAATTTGGGAAACTCAGCTTCGAGGAAGACAATTGTCTTTAGTTTATGAACCCACAAGTGACCTATCCATTGCTTGAGCTGCTCAGTTACATACAGTGCATAAGGCAAAGGTACTTATTGCTGCTAAGACACAGGACATTAGGTTGCTGGTCCTATCTACTTATCTACTCAGAGGGAAAAGAAAGGAGAGGGTGGAGGTTCTACTGTCTCTCAGTGGAAATTTAGCAACTTATCTCCCAATTAAGCACTCCAGAGAGGAGCCACCCATCTCAGCTCCAGAGCTAGATACCCACTGAGCAAGCAGCAGCTGTGAACTATCTCTCAGCCTGCTGGTGCCAAATATGGGATGCAATGACTCAAAAGGACAAAAGCCCAAAGTTACTCCTGCACAAAGCTTCGAAGAAAGAATTCTAGATTACTTTAGTTAACTCTGTAACTTGTTTCACTGATATTTATTTGGTCATACATAGCCAATACAAGTAAGGTAGTATCAAACACATGGAGCATATGCAATGCTGTAATGGCTGACAGCCTCCAAAATGGTGACACAAAACTTTAATTATGCTTTGTGGAGTTTGGGGATCCCGTTCACAAAGAATGGTAACACCTGCCCTTGAACACAGAAACTTCTCCTATATAGCTGTTTTGCAAGGTAAACTACATATGATTTCCTTAGTATATCTACATCTACTTATAGCCAGACTAAAGTACGCTAGGAGTGAAGTTACGTATTCCAGCAGAATTGATCTTAATAGCATACAGCCACAAGAAAAGGAAGACCCTGGTCCTTCCTCTCTCCTGTGATCCTCAGTGCTTAAGTCTCACCCCTTCCTTTTTTTGTTAGCTTTGATGCTTGTCAGACCCTCTGCTGGGTTGATTCAACTCACTAGCCTGGCAGAACGCTAACTCATTTTGTAGTGCCTAATTAGCAAACTGAACCTGCATGTTGCTTCATTTAAAAGAGAACCAAAAATGGAGCAAGGCAGGGGATGGAGAGTGTGGCCAGCTATCAAGGAAGGAAAGAAAGGGAGCAGGATTTCCCCCTTTCAGCAAAGGTAAGTTGTGACACGCAGTTTCACCCCGAGTACAGCTGACATACTTACACTG